CTTCGGCGGCACTCAATGACGTACCGCTTGAAATAGTGGCTCTGGAGCAGCTTTACTCGAGATTGAGAAACACCCAGGAAGTGGTCAAATGCTAACTCACTTCCGGTCTTTAGGACTCGTCACTGCACCACTCTATTAAGTTTTCCAGTCCTTTAAGCTTTTTATTATACTTTACATTTCCTAACGAGTTAAGATCAAACTGAGCACCATCTCTCACACTTAGCTTCTTATCTTCCTGAGGCCTGCACTAATCTGTAGTTCAAGATCAGCTCCATCCATTTATAATAAACAGATTTATAACATATTGGTGCCATGGCTGTTTATTTGTGTACATTTCAAACAATATATAAACGTTCCTTATGATTTACAATCCCACTGCAGGTGATGGAATTACCAAGGCTGATACTTTTACAGATATATCAGCTTGTATTTTTTACATTAAACGCATAACATGAACAACTAATCTCTATCTGGATCCCTGAGGTTTGTGACGTAGACGCATGATGAGGATATTTTGCGGTAGAAAATCAATATCAGTTGATCTCTGGGGATGTATGTGATGGAGGACGGTTTCTAAATGACTTCAAACCCAGTTTAGCATGCCAACAATAACCAATAATGACATATCTGTATAAGCTATGTCCGCTCAATATGGGTCTAGCTTTAATAACAATATTTCAGTACTTTTCTAATAGAAATTGAGACTTAGGAGATCAAAATAATTCACAATTGCTGGTCAGTTCCCAGATAAAGTGTAAGGATATTTGTTTAAGAATTTATTTTAGGGCTTTAGAGGACTAGACTACCCAGGCTAAATGTGCTGCTATTTAGGTATTTATTTGCCTGATTTTTCTGGTTTTATTATACATTTGAGTCTTTTAGCCAGCATGTTATCCTAGATTAGGGTCTCAACTATAAATAAATATATTTTAATGTACACAAAGCTTTTCGGACAATTAGGTAATTAATGGTAAGAGTCTACGTTGTGCGTTTATGTCGTACCAGAGAGGCTTTGATTGGCCTCAAACAATTAAGCGACCAATCGAAACATTTTGAATTCAAACAAGAACCATAAAGATAAACATTACATTTGTAAAACGAATGAAAGAGTGGCATATATTAATGTATTAGTAGAGTAGAACTGTGAAGTAGCATACATTGGAAAGTACCTCAAAATTGTATTTAAAAATGTTCTTGAGTGAGAGTACCTTATTACATTTCACGCATGGTTATCCGGTACTTTTGACAAAGTAAAGCATCAGAATACTCCTTCCGGCAGAGGTTTACATACTTAAACGTCAACCCTTTTTCATACAAGTATAAGTAGCATAATATGAAAATACTCAGTTAAAGTGCCTCAAAATTGTAATGAAGTACAGTACTTGAGTGAATGTACTTTATTACATTTCACAACTGGGTATTTTTACTTTCACCAGAGGTCAGGTTTACGTACGTAGACATCAACAATTACAAGTCTGAGTAGCATAATATGGAAATACTCAGTGAAGGTACCTCAAAAATGTGCTTCGGTGAATATCCTTCATTACATTTCACAACTGGGTATTAGTACTTTTACCAAATGATTAGAATTTTTCTTCCAACAAACAGCCAGTTTTAGTTACATCAACATTTTTTAAGTAAGTTATGTAGCATTATATGGAAATACTCAAGTACAAGTACCTCAAAATTGTTATTAAAAATAGGTCTTGAGTGAGAGTACTTTATTACATTTCAAAACTGGGTACTTGTACTTTTATCACAGTAAAGGGTCAGAATACTCCTTCCACCAGACGTCAGGTTTACGTTGAGAGACGTCAACATTTTTGAGTAAGCTATGTAGCATATGGAAATACTCACTCAAAGTGGCTCCAAAAAGTACAGTACTTGAGTGAATGGGTATTAGTACTTTTACCAAAGTAAAACATCTGAATACTTCTTCTATTCGAACGTCAGGTTTACGTACATAGACGTCAATGTTTTTAGCGCAAATTTAGAGTTGTATAAAATGGAAATACTCAGTTCAAGTGCCTCCAAATTGTACTTAAACTACAGTGCTTGAGTGAATGTACCATCTTACTGTTCGTTATTAGCTCTCCAGCATCCAGCTCTGTGGTCCATCCAGCTCTTAACCTACATTTCCTCGAGATTATTTCAGCCTTTTAATGGATTAGTCGAGCAGTTCCCCGCCGCAAACAATTATGTGGTCGGTTTGACAGAACAGGCCTGCAGTTATGGATGCTATTTAAAGGTCTGGTCTTCAGCCTGGATGAAAGAAGGGAGGCTGCTGTCCTCAGGAATGTGATGGTGCAAGGAGCAGTAATAGACATCTTTAGCTGATTTTCCTGCCTGAAAGGTTGTTTTCCCTCAGTCTAACCGCCAACAAGGCCTGGCTCTGTCATATTTAGAGACTATTCCATAACAAGTGGGAGTGTATTTTTAGAGTTTCCCTGGCTGAGAATATAACATGTTGGTTGGATGTGTGAAATGAGTAATTTAAGAAATAGCAGGATATCTTTTTGTTCAAGAAAAAGTGGTCCTCAAGTTGCAGGTTTGCTGCTTCTTCTTGTCATAAAGTTCTTAATAGCCCAACATTAGCCTCCTTAGCTTAGCGGTGGTGACGTGAAGTCATGTGACCGTGCTGTAGTTCTTTATAGCCCAACATTAGCCTCCTTTAGCTTAGCGGTGGTGACGTGAAGTCATGTGACCGTGCTGTAGTTCCTTTATAGCCCAACGTTAGCCTACCTTAGCTTAGCGGTGGTGACGTGAAGTCATGTGACCGTGCTGTAGTTCCTTTATAGCCCAACATTAGCCACCTTTAGCTTAGCGGTGGTGACGTGAAGTCATGTGACCGTGCTGTAGTTCCTTTTATAGCCCAACATTAGCCTCCTTTAGCTTAGCGGTGGTGACGTGAAGTCATGTGACCGTGCTGTAGTTCCTTTATAGCCCAACATTAGCCACCTTTAGCTTAGCAGTGGTGACGTGAAGTCACGTCACCGTGCTGTAGTTCCTTTATAGCCCAACATTAGCCACCTTTAGCTTAGCGGTGGTGACGTGAAGTCATGTGACGTGCTGTAGTTCCTTTATAGCCAACATTAGCCTCCTTTAGCTTAGCGTGGTGACGTGAAGTCATGTGACCGTGCTGTAGTTCCTTTATAGCCCAACGTTAGCCACCTTTAGCTTAGCGTGGTGACGTGAAGTCATGTGACGTGCTGTAGTTCCTTTATAGCCCAACATTAGCCACCTTTAGCTTAGCGGTGGTGAGGTGAAGTCATGTGACCGTGCTGTAGTTCCTTTATAGCCCAACGTTAGCCACCTTTAGCTTAGCGTGGTGACGTGAAGTCATGTGACCGTGCTGTAGTTCCTTTATAGCCCAACATTAGCCACCTTTAGCTTAGCGGTGGGACGTGAAGTCATGTGACCGTGCTGTAGTTCCTTTATAGCCCACATTAGCCTCCTTAGCTTAGCGGTGTGACGTGAAGTCACGTGACCGTGCTGTAGTTCCTTATAGCCCAACATTAGCCACCTTTAGCTTAGCGGTGGTGACGTGAAGTCACGTCACCGTCTGTGCTGTAGTTTCCTTTATAGCCCAACATTAGCCCCTTTAGCTTAGCGGTGGTGACGTGAAGTCATGTGACCGTGCAGTAGTTCCTTTATAAGCCCAACATTAGCCTCCTTTAGCTTAGCAGGTTGGTTGACGTGAAGTCATGTAACCGTGCTGTAGTTCCTTTATAGCCCACCTTAGCCACCTTAGCTTAGCGGTGGTGACGTGAAGTCATGTGATCGTGCTGTAGTTCCTTTATAGCCCAACATTAGCCACCTTTAGCTTAGCGTGGTGAGGTGAAGTCATGTGACCGTGCTGTAGTTCCTTTATAGGCCCAACGTTAGCCACCTTTAGCTTAGCGGTCGGTGACGTGAAGTCATGTGATCGTGCTGTAGTTCCTTTATAGCCCAACATTAGCCACCTTTAGCTTAGCGGTGGTGAGGTGAAGTCATGTGACCGTGCTGTAGTTCCTTTATAGCCCAACGTTAGCCACCTTTAGCTTAGCGGTGGTGACGTGAAGTCATGTGACGTGCTGTAGTTCCTTTATAGCCCAACATTAGCCACCTTTAGCTTAGCGGTGGTGACGTGAAGTCATGTGACCGTGCTGTAGTTCCTTTATAGCCCAACGTTAGCCACCTTTAGCTTAGCGGTGGTGACGTGAAGTCATGTGACCGTGCTGTAGTTCCTTTATAGCCCAACGTTAGCCACCTTTAGCTTAGCGGTGGTGACGTGAAGTCATGTGACGTGCTGTAGTTCCTTTATAGCCCAACTTAGCCACCTTTAGCTTAGCGGTGGTGACGTGAAGTCATGTGACCGTGCTGTAGTTCCTTTATAGCCCAACTTAGCCTCCTTTAGCTTAGCGGTGGTGACGTGAAGTCATGTGATCGTGCTGTAGTTCCTTTATAGCCCAACATTAGCCACCTTTAGCTTAGCGTGGGTGAGGGTGAAGTCATGTGACCGTGCTGTAGTTCCTTTATATAGCTCAACATTAGCCTCATTTAGCTTAGGCGGTGGTGACGTGAAGTCATGTGACCGTGCTGTAGTTCCTTAGCCTAACGTTAGCTTTTTACTTCAGAAAGCATAAAGTGGTGTTAACATGTGGATTATCCTGCTGAACTAAAAGTGTAAATATCATAAATGTTTGTTTCTGCAATAATCCAAAACCCAATGGATAGTAGAAGCATTGAACTGCAGTTTTCTTCTGTAGAAAGCTGCAGATTGTGAAACAGAATCTGTGACACATTTTTTATGATCTCTCTTTCTAAATATGGGAAAGGACTTGTGGGGGTTGTGTGGAAACTGGCCCGTTTGGTGTTCTGATTCATAGCCGATATTCACTTCTTTTGCATACTGCACTATACTCTCGCTGTTGCATACCGCAAATGTCCCCGTTGGGGGATAAAGGAATTCTGATCAATATAATTCTGACATGTTCTTTTTTGTTGTTGTATTTTTCCAGATGCAGGGGGTGCAGCAGAGCAAGGACGACGCTGGTGAGCAACCGGACCCTCGCTGAGCAGAACCTGGACCTGCAGCCCCGCCTGGAGCAGAGGAAGGAGACGCTGACCCAGCGATACGCCCGCCTGGAGAACTTCGAGTCCTTCCAGCTGCGCAAATCCACCCTCGGTACGACACAGTGCACGAAACTCCCAGAAAGATGGTTTTTATTTAAGTCAAAGTCAACTTTATCAATCTTTGAGTTTTGGGTGTACAGACAGAGAGATCGAAATAGTTTACAGTTAAGTCCTTTAAAATGAAATGAATTAAATGAACACATATGTAATTATATTACATCATTGCCTATGCATTGGATTTATCGGATAGGGTAACAACTTCATATTAACAAGTCTGAACAGAAGTCTAGGGCAAATAATAATTGCAAGTCTCTTCAGTGTCACAAAATGAGATGCATTGTGGGACATGTAGTTTATGGGCAACGTGCTTCTGTAAAGCGGCATGTAACAAACTTATTATATTTGTTGCAATCAAACCATTAACAGTATCAGAATAGTATACATACTTATTTAGATTATTTGTGACTTCTGAAATACAAGAAATAAGCAGTTGTGTGCACAGAAGGTTCTGGATCAGTAAGGAACCTGGGATATGATGTGCATTTGAACCTCCAGTCTGAAATATAATACATATTATAATAATATGTAGACGCTGCTGCAGTTCTGAGCTTTCAGTTTGACAGTGAACTCCTCGTGCTGTCAGTCGTCATCAGAGGACATGTTATGTAATGTAATGTTCGTTTTCCCGCATGAAGAAGAACAGACTGAGAGAACCAGTTTGTCCACTTCTCATGTTTCCCATCAGCCCTTTGTCATGTTGCTGCAGGATCTCTCTCGTACAGTAACACCTTCACAGTGCTTCCCTGTGTGAGGGAGAGGGAGGGACTCTTTAAAGTAGAGACACTACAGACTGATATACACCTGAACATCAGCAGGAGAGGACTCTTTAAAGTAGAGACACTACATACTGATATACACCTGAACATCATCAGGAGAGGACTCTTTAAAGTAGAGACACTACATACTGATATACACCTGAACATCAGCAGGAGAGGACTCTTTAAAGTAGAGACACCTACAGACTGATATACACCTGAACATCAGCAGGAGATAACTCTTTAAGTAGAGACACCACATACTGTATACACCTGAACATCAGCAGAGAGAGAACTCTTAAAGTAGAGACACTACAACTGATATACACCTGAACATCAGCCAGGAGAGGACTCTTTAAGAGTAGAGACACTGCCATACCTGATATACACCTGAACATCAGCAGGAGAGGACTCTTTAAAGTAGAGACACACTACTAATATACACCTGAACATCATCAAGAGAGGACTCTTAAGTAGAGACACTACATACTGATACACACCTGAACATTAGCAGGAGAGGACTCTTTAAAGTAGAGACACTACATACTGATATAACCCTGAACATCATCAGGAGAGGACTCTTTAAAGTAGAGACACTACATACTGATATCACACCTGAACATCAGCAGGAGAGGACCTCTTTAAAGTAGAGACACTACATACTGATATACACCTGAACATCATCAGGAGAGGACTCTTTAAAGTAGAGACACTACATACTGATATACACCTGAACATCAGCAGGAGAGGACTCTTTAAAGTAGAGACACTACATACTGATATACACCTGAACATCAGCAGGAGAGAACTCTTTAAAGTAGAGACACCACATACTGATATACACCTGAACATCAGCAGGAGAGGACTCTTTAAAGTAGAGATACTACATACTGATATACACCTGGACATCAGCAGGAGAGGACTCTTTAAAGTAGAGACACTACATACTGATATACACCTGAACATCAGCAGGAGATGACTCTTTAAAGTAGAGACACTACATACTGATATACACCTGAACATCAGCAGGAGAGGACTCTTTAAAGTAGAGACACTGCATACTGATATACACCTGAACATCAGCAGGAGAGGACTCTTTAAAGTAGAGACACTACATACTAATATACACCTGAACATCATCAGGAGAGGACTCTTTAAAGTAGAGACACTACATACTGATACACACCTGAACATTAGCAGGAGAGGACTCTTTAAAGTAGAGACACTACATACTGATATACACCTGAACATCAGCAGGAGAGGACTCTTTAAAGTAGAGACACTACATACTGATATACACCTGAACATCAGCAGGAGATGACTCTTTAAAGTAGAGACACTACATACTGATATACACCTGAACATCAGCAGGAGAGGACTCTTTAAAGTAGAGACACTGCATACTGATATACACCTGAACATCAGCAGGAGAGGACTCTTTAAAGTAGAGACACTACATACTAATATACACCTGCAACATCATCAGGAGAGGACTCTCTTAAAGTAGAGACACTACATACTGATACACACCTGAACATTAGCAGGAGAGGACTCTTTAAGTAGAGACACTACATACTGATATACACCTGGAACATCATCAGGAGAGGACTCTTTAAAGTAGAGACACTACATACTGATATACACCTGAACATCAGCAGAGGAGGACTCTTTAAAGTAGAGACACTACATACTGATATACACCTGAACATCATCAGGAGAGGACTCTTTAAAGTAGAGACACTACATACTGAATATACACCTGAACATCAGCAGGAGAGGACTCTTTAAAGTAGAGACACTACATACTGAATATACACCTGAACATCAGCAGGAGAGAACTCTTTAAAGTAGAGACACCACATACTGATATACACCTGAAACATCAGCAGGAGAGGACTCTTTAAAAGTAGAGACACTACATACTGATATACACCTGAATATCAGCAGGGAGAGGACTCTTTTAAAGTAGAGACACTACATACTGATATACACCTGAACATCAGCAGGAGAGGACTCTTTAAAGGTAGAGACACTACATACTGATATACACCTGAACATCAGCAGGAGAGGACTCTTTAAAGTAGAGATACTACATACTGATACACACCTGAAACATCAGCAGGAGAGGACTCTTTAAAGTAGAGACACTACATACTGATATACACCTGAACATCAGCAGGAGAGGACTCTTTAAAGTAGAGACACTACATACTGATATACACCTGAACATCAGCAGAGAGGACTCTTTAAGTAGAGACACTACATACTGATATACACCTGAACATCAGCAGGAGAGGACTCTTTAAAGTAGAGACACTACATACTGATATACACCTGACATCAGCAGGAGAGGACTCTTTAAAGTAGAGACACTACATACTGATATACACCTGAACATCAAGCAGGAGGAGGACTCTTTAAAGTACAGACAGCATATGATCTCTTTAATGAACCATGGAGCCTATACATTCCTAAATGGCAGTTTTGTGCTTTTTGAGTGAAATATATAATTAAATTACATTTTAACTGCTAAATGTAAGAAAGAAACCTCTGTCTGTTTTCGATTCAATGTAATCTCCACCAGTACAATTTGGGAAACCAACATGACGTCTTCTGCCAAAAATCTTATTGCCAGTAAATTCCCCAATTTAGGAGGAGTCTCGGTCTGACTAATTGTTGTTTGTGGAAACTCTCAAAAGCCGATTCTTTGCTTATTATCAGACCCACCCATGGCAGAAGTGACATAACAAGTTGCATAAGTTTCCCGTAGGTCACATTGAACAAGGAAGGAGTCGACGCTGCTCTTTATGCCGCCGTGAAGTTAATGATTAGTGTTTCACCTCGTTGATGCACAGGCTGATCTGAAGGAGTCTGACTTGACTAAAAGCGTGTTACAAAGCTGCAGCTGGTGATTAAAACCATGTCTTACTGCAAAGGTGCTGCTGCATTTAAAGTATGGACTAACAGCCGTGGAAGAAGATATTTTATCTCAGTAAAAGAGGCATTGCTTCAGTGTAAAAATACTCTATGGAAAGTCCTGCATCTCAAGACGTACTCGAGTGAAAATACCAAAGTGATGGCATCAAAATATACCTTAATTACAAAAAAATAAAAGTACTCGTTATGTAGCGTGGCCCATTTCAGAATCGTGTGTGTGGGCGATAAACTCCACCTGAACACAGCGATGTTAGCCTCTGCAGACCGTTTACATGCACTAAAACATACAGAACACACTACAGGAAAGAGAAAACCCAATTAAGTATAATAGGGCCTCTTTAAGGGCTAAAAGGGAAGTGTTTACAAAAGGCCTGACAGAACCACCTTCTCCTGCAAACATTAAACCCGCCTTCAGCCTGAAAACCTGCAACAACTTCAGTGTTTTTCATTTCAACTCATTTTCAACAACGCCGACATACAGAGGTGGGAGAAGTACTCTGATCTTATACTTGAGTAAAAGTAGAAGTACTCTGATCTTATACTTGAGTAAAAGTAGAAGTACTCTGATCTTATACTTGAGTAAAAGTAGAAGTACTCAGATTGTGTACTTGAGTAAAAGTAGAAGTACTCAGATCTTGTACTTGAGTAAAAGTAGAAGTACTCTGATCTTATACTTGAGTAAAAGTAGAAGTACTCTGATCTTGTACTTGAGTAAAAGTAGAAGTACTCAGATCTTGTATTTGAGTAAAAGTAGAAGTACTCAGATCATGTACTTGAGTAAAAGTAGAAGTACTCTGATCTTATACTTGAGTAAAAGTAGAAGTACTCTGATCTTATACTTGAGTAAAAGTAGAAGTACTCTGAACTTATACTTGAGTAAATGTAGAAGTACTCTGATCTTATACTTGAGTAAAAGTAGAAGTACTCAGATCTTATACTTGAGTAAAAGTAGAAGTACTCTGATCTTATACTTGAGTAAAAGTAGAAGTACTCTGATCTTATACTTGAGTAAATGTAGAAGTACTCAGATCTTGTACTTGAGTAAAAGTAGAAGTACTCAGATCTTGTACTTGAGTAAAAGTAGAAGTACTTAGAGATTGTACTTGAGAAAAAGTAGAAGTACTCTGATCTTGTACTTGAGTAAAAGTAGAAGTACTCTGATCTTATACTTGAGTAAAAGTAGAAGTACTCAGATCTTATACTTGAGTAAAAGTAGAAGTACTCTGATCTTGTACTTGAGTAAGAGTAAAAGTATTCAGATCATGTACTTGAGTAAAAGTAGAAGTACTCAGATCTTGTA